AAGAAAAAAATAATTGCAAAAAAATAATAAAATTATAATTTTGTGTTATTTCTAATTTTTTATCTGCATTATTTTTCCCGAATTGGGAGAAACTCGAGACCTCAAACTTATCGAACTCAAATCTTTTAGAGGCCTTGTCAAAAGTTGATGATAAAGCTCCACCATTGTCATTGATACTTTTTCTTTTTAAATGATCCAACTGAGAAGACACTTGGAGTACAATTTGTAGAAGAATTTTGAGCGATCGAACTCTAGACAGCAAAACTTAAACTTGAATTCTCCTTTGATCTGAAAAGGTCGTATTTCATCTACCACAACTAGTGAATTTTTGTTTGCATAATTGTCAACATCTTTAGCATTGAGAGTTACCTCTTCATGCTCTTTTTCCTCTTCTTCCGATTACAATCTATGAAATAGATCTCATAGATCTTGTTCCAATACTTTCTAATATGTTCTACTAGGTCTCCTTTGAGTCTCTCAAATATTGTTCTAAGCTCTCCATAACTATATCAACAAAGATTTCAAGGCTCTGATACCAACTGATGCAGGGGATATGGGGAAGAAATAATTAAAATAATAATAATAATAAAGAATGATATAATATACCATCTCTTTGGGTCTGTGCAGACCACCCCAAAAGATCTTTTTACAAGTTTAACTTTTTATTTAATCACCAATTCTCTTCCTTTTAAATACACTTGGAAGAAAGAAAAATAAATAAGCAAAAACCCAAAAAATAAACTTTCTCTTCCTTTAAAACTCGCGGTACATATCTATCTCCCTATGTTCTCTCATGTGAAGCCTCCATATCTATTCCTTGTCTCCCAATTTTTTCTCGTGTGAATCTTTATCCTTCCCAATTCCTTCCTAAAAAAAGATTAGTTCATAATATATTCCACAAACACCTCATAAAAAGAACAACTCATACAGAACTTAAGATTTATTTTTTTTAAACTAACCAACCCAATTTCTAATCTATCATCAAAACAACTCACACAACAAAACCCTTCATCCTCCCACTTAACAATTCACGCACCAAAATCCTCTCACCTAGCTGACCCCAACACGCTTCTAACTCCTAAGAAAATAATAATAATAAAATTATAATTTTGAATCTTTTCTAATTTTTTATCTACATCATTCTCTTCGGGTTGAGAGAAGCTCGATCTCGAGCTTATCAAACTCAAATCTTTTAGAGGTCTTCTCAAAAGTTGGTGATGAAGTCTTATCATTTTCCTTGGTACTTTTTTTTTTTAATGATCCTGATAAGACACTTGAAGTACAATTTGTAGATGAATTTTTAGCTACCAAACTTGAGAAAACCAAATTGAATCTTGGATTCTCCTTCGATCTCAAATGATGTATTTCATGTACTGCAACTAGTGAATTTTCGTTTTAATAATTGTCAACATCTTTAGCATCGAGAGTTACCTCTTTATGTTCTTCTTCATCCTCCAATTGTAATCTATGAAATAGATCTCATAGACGTTATCCTACTACTTTCTAACACGCGCTATTAGGTCTTCTTTGTGTCTCTCAAATATTTGATCGAAGCTCTCCATAACTAGATCAGGTGGATCTCAATGCTCTAATACCAACTGATGCAAGGGATATGGAGAAAAAAATAATTAAAATAAAAATAATAAAATAGGGTAAGAATATACCATCTCTGAGAACCTGCAAGGAAGCTCACCCCAAAAAATCTTTTCACAAGATGAACTTTTACTAAATCACTAATTCTCTTCTTATTACAATGAAATGACATCTCTCCTTTAAATAACTTAGAAGAAAGAAAATAAATAAATAAATAAAAACCCAAAAAGTACTCTCTCTCTCTCTTACCAAAATCCTCCCACCTAGCTTACCCCAAAGTACTTCCATTCTTAAGAAAAGAATAATTCAAAAAATTAATAAGATTATAATTTTGAAGTTTTCTTAATTTTTTATCTGCATCTCAACCAAATCTTGTCTAGCCCCATGTTCTCGATCTAGAAATCCAATCTCATTTTCGCCTCTACGTAAATTCTCTCTCTCCAAACCCAACTACATTCTTGCCTCCCTTTATATTCTCTCACAAGAAACCCAATCCCATATTTTGTTCTACCGGAAATCTCTCTTTATAAAAGTCTAACCCATTTTTGCCTCCTCTCACATTATTTAGGGAGAGAATGTAAGAGGAGGGAACCAACTACATTCTTGCCTCCTTTTTATATTCTCTCACTAGAAACCCAATCTCATATTTTGAAGTCATTCTTGCTTCCTCTCACATTACTTAGGGAGAGAATGTAAGAGGAGGGAAGAATTTGTTAGGTTTTTAAATAGAGTACGTGATAAAAGAGGGAAAAGAGAAACCATAGCGAAAAAAATGAAAGACGGGAAGCCTCAAGATTTTTTTATTTGACTTTATTTAAAATGTATGAGGGCCAAAGTCAAAAACAAATTCTCCCGAGGTCCCATTTCTTAAAAAAAAATTCTTATATAGTCGTGGAGGCAAGGCACACAGGGGATAGG